CCTTGGCTGTCATTTTTGAGTCGCTTCCCTTTTAGGTAACCCCACCTTGAGCACATCAGGATTCAGGGGAGTTTAGCGGTTTCACCCAGGGATTGTTAAACGCCATCCATCCTGAAAATGGGTGTTTCTGAAAAATCCCGATTGTTGTGGGGAGTAGCTTTGCGGGAGTCCTCGGGTTACAAAACCGTGTCTTTGAACCATCCACATGTTGACAATGATTTCAGTTGTTAAAAGATCGATCCTGAAGTCCGGCTCGTGGTAAAATCCCAGGTCCTTCTGAGATGCGCACAATTTGGAATCTCCGCTCACATCGTGTTGATGTCAGATATGTGTTTTAAGGTATTCTTAACTTGTGGTTTGAAGATTGACCCTACCAGTACTGCAAGAAACGCAATGCCTGGGTAAAAAAGTACAAGCTCTTCTCCACGACCTCCAAATGGCTGAGTCCACTGAGGTGTCATGTTTGTGTCACGTCCCCCTTGGAGGGTCATCCCAGTAAGTAGTTAATTCATATCAATGTGACTAATTACATCCTTCGTTGTCTTAAGTATAACCACCTGGTCAGATAATTCAATATGGTCCCTGACTATGTTGTTGTTATTCATATTACCCTGGCCCCCGGTATGTTTCCCGAATGCGTAGCAAGGGTTCCCGTTTCACTCTGGGGGTCTGGGGGTTGAGGGTGTGTTCGCTCAACGTTGCCCAACCGTCCGCAACCGTCCGCAACCGTCCGCAACCGTCCGCAACCGTCCGCAACCGTCCGCGCGATTGCTAAATGGCCGTGCCTTTGGTAAGTTCTGCAGAAGTGGTCATTTTTGGAGGTTTCAAATGTTTCGTTGCTTCGTTTCGCGTGGCAGGCGTGGTACTTCGTGACATTCAGACGTGTTTTGTAACGCATCGAAAATGGTTTTGTGATCCCCCTACCAATTTAAGCTACAAAGTTTGTGGCCACAAGCACTATACAGAGGCTTCCATTTTAGTCAGGCTAACCCTGAGATGAAATCCAGGTCCAAGATTTTGTAGCTTAAACTTGTGAATCTCATTTTATAAAGGAGTCATTTTAGTCATGTTAGCCCATCATGAAAATCGCAGTGGCATTTTGTAGCATGACATGATGAGCTTCATGCTGGCTTATCAAAGGGTATGTCCTTGTATGATACAGTTGTTGAAAACGAAGGGGCATTTTGTAACAAGGGAAAGCCTCCACCTATGTCAAGGTTGTTGAAACGAAGGGGCATTTTGTAGCTAAGGCTATGTTGGGGAAAAATGGAGCTCAGCAACCTCATTCTATAGCCCCGAGCTTGTGAATCTTTTTAAATCTTTTTTAATCTTTTTTATAACATACAGACCAGGGGTCACAACGTCTCACCTGAAATTCGATGGGGGATGTTTTGTGTGGCAAGCGCAATACTTTTGCGACGTTTTCAGAAGACGCGTTGCAGTTTTCGTGGCAGGCGCAGCACTTTGGACGTGTCCATCGTCATATTTCGTGGCAGGCGCAGCACTTTAGACATGTCGTGTTGCGTGTTTTTTGCAAATCGCACTGGCAAGGCTGCGTCAAGTGGCGACAAGTTGTAAATTCCGTGGCAGGCGTGGCATTTTGTGAGATGTGCTGAAAGTTGACGGTCTCGCACGAAATGCTCGTTTTGGTGCTCCCACCTGTCTCGTCTCGAGTCATTGGTTTTCTGGTGGCCTCGCCGTGTCTATGGGGGAAGCTGCAAAACATCTCCTTCTCGAAGGTTGCCAAGCAGGTTGTCATGTCGTTTTGCGTGGCAGGCGTGGCACTTTGTGACAATCCAACCTGTTTGATAACGTGTCGAAAATGTAAAAATTGGAGCAAGTGTCGCACAAAATGCTCGTTTTTCTGCATCCACGTGTCTCACCTCGAGTCGCTGGTTTTCCTGTGGCGTCGCCGTGTCTATGGGGGAAGCTGCAAAACCTCTCTTTTTGGAAGGTTTCCAAGCAGGTTGTCATGTCGTTTTGCGTGGCAGGCGTGGCACTTTGTGACATTCCAACCTGTTTTGATAGCGTGTCGAAAATGTCAAAATTGGAGCAGCAAGTGTCGCACAAAATGCTCGTTTTTCTGCATCCACGTGTCTTATCTCGAGTCTCTGGTTTTCCTGTGGCGTCACCGTGTCTATGGGGGAAGCTGGAAAACATCTCATATTCGAATGTGTCCAAGCAGGTCGTCATGTGGTTGTGTGTGGCAGGCGTGGCACTTTGTGTCATTCCAACCTGTTTGATAACGTGTCGAAAATGTCAAAATTGGAGGAAGTCTCGCACGAAATGCTCCTTTTTCTGCACCCACGTGTCTCGTCTCGAGTCTTTGGTTTTCCTGTGACGTCGCCGTGTCTATGGGGGAAGCTCCGCACTCCACACTCTACACTTTACACTCCACAATTTACACTTTAGACTTCACACTCCACACTCTACACTTTACACTCCACACTTTACACTTTGCACTTTACACTCCTCACTCCTCACTCGAGACTTTACACTCCACACTCCACACTTTACACTCCACACTCCTCACTCCACTTTACACTCTACACTTTAGACTCTACACCCCACACTTGACATTTTACACTCCAGACTTTACACTTTACACTCCTCACTTTACACTTTGCACTCTACACTCCACACTTCTCACTTTACACTCCGCACTCCGAACTCTACACTTTCCACTCCACACTCCACACTCCACACTTTACACTCCACATTCCACACTCCACAATTTACACTTTAGACTCCTGGCTCCACACTCCACACTCTACACTTTACACTCCACACTTTACACTTTGCACTCCACACTTGACATTTTACACTCCAGACTTTACACTTTACACTCCTCACTCCACACTTTACACTTTGCACTTTACACTCCACACTTCTCACTTTACACTCCGCACTCCACACTCTACACTTTCCACTCCACACTCCACACTCCACACTTTGCACTCCACATTCCGCGCTCCCCCCACACCCCACACCCCACACCCCGCACTCTACACCCCACACTCTACACTTTATACACTCCACACTTTACACGTTACACTCCACACTCCACAATCCTCACTTTACACTCCACACTCCACACTCTACACTTTACACTCCGCACTCCGCACTCCACACTTTACACTCCACACTTTACACTTTACACTTTACACTCCTCACTCCACACTTTACACTCCGCACTCCGCACTTTACACTCCACACTTCACACTCCACACTCCACACTCTACACTTTCCACTCCACACTTCTCACTTTACACTCCACACTCCACACTTTACACTTTACACTCCTCACTCCACACTCGACACTCTACACTTTACACTCCACACTCTACACTTGTACACTCTACACTTTACACTCTAGACTCCACACCCCACATTCTACAATTTACAAACTCCGCACTCCTCACTCCACACTTTACACTCCACACTCCTCACTTTACACTCCACACTCCACACTCTACACTTTACACTCCTTACTCCGCACTCCACACTTTACACTCCACACTTTACACTTTACACTCCTCACTCCACACTTTACACTCCGCACTCCGCACTTTGAACTCCACACTTCACACTCCGCACTCCACACCCTACACTTTCCATTCCACACTTCTCACTTTACACTCCACACTCCACACTTTACACTTTACACTCCTCACTCCACACTCGACACTCTACACTTTACACTCCACACTCCACAATCTAATCCCTTCCTCCTAATACTAACCCCCCCCCTAATACAAAACACGGCAGGTAGTTTTTAGTATTAGGGGGGTATTTATTATTAGGGAACCAAATCGAAGTCATGTTAATTAGTTATTAATGCATTAGAATGGAGGAAGGGATTATTCATTTTATAAAGATTTCTAAATAATTCTAATTAATTAATTCACCTCCTTCCATTTCCCTTTCTAAAGTCCTTACTAAAACTGCTGCTTCTGTGCTGCCAGGCTAGCTCCAGGCAGGTTCTCCCTAATACCAAGCACCAGACCTTAATACTAAAAACTACTTCACCTCCTTCCATTTCCCTTTCTAAAGTCCTTACTAAAACTGCTGCTTCTGTGCTGCCAGCCTAGCTCCAGGCAGGTTCTCCCTAATACTAAGCACCAGAACTTAATACTAAAAACTACTTCACCTCCTTCCATTTCCCTTTCTAAAGTCCTTACTAAAACTGCTGCTTCTGTGCTGCCAGGCTAGCTCCAGGCAGGTTCTCCCTAATACCAAGCACCAGACCTTAATACTAAAAACTACTTCACCTCCTTCCATTTCCCTTTCTAAACTCCTTACTAAAACGGCTGCTTCTGTGCTGCCAGGCTAGCTCCAGGCAGGTTCTCCCTAATACTAAGCACCAGACCTCAATACTAAAAACTACTTCACCTCCTTCCATTTCCCTTTCTAAAGTCCTTTCTCAAACTGCTGCTTCTGTGCTGCCAAGCTAGCTCCAGGCAGGTTCATCCATGAGGTGGAGATTCATCCAAGAGCCACCGCACCTTTGCAATCCCCAGCCAGTGATTTACAGCCAGACAAGTCAGATCTCCAATCATCAGGCAGTGATTAGCACAACAGGTAGCTGTTTTAGCGTTCTTTCTTTTTTTTGGCTGAGCCACTTGTGCAGCCAAGGAACAGCAGACCCAGGTCCTGCAGGCAGCTCTCACCAGCTTGCAGGACATCCAGCAAGAACTCCACTTGGTGGGGAAAAGGTGTGCTGCATGGAGCACCGCCAAGCAGCTAGGCAGCAATGATGTCCATCAGACAGGCAGCGAAGAATGTGCATCCCCCATTAATTCCTTAATTACCTTGCCATCATTAAATATTTACACAGTCAGAATTATATACATATATCTCCTCCTACATCCACCTCCTCATTATATTACTTATTGTCCCAACAGTATATATATATAATTATATATATATACACATATATAGACTTCTCTCAGGACAGCTGGTACAGCTTCGGGGCAGACGTCAGCAGACACAGCCAGCAGATGCAGACGCGGACAGACAGATGGGCAGTGGCCAGACAGGCGTGGCTGACGCGCCTCAGACAGGCAGGCGTCCCTTTTTCGTGGTGCTGGCTCTGCTGCTCAGACAGCTGAGCAGCTAGGCAGCCAGACAGCTCCCAGCAGACAGCACAGAAAAGGGAGCAGCAGGAGAGGCAGGCTGGAATCTTGAATAATAGTAAAGTAATTAACTTATTACATGGGTCATCTTTAAATAATTACCAATAATTGCTGTTGTTTTGATGGGAAATATAAATTCAAGATTCCAGCCAGCTCAGACAGAAAGGCATCCCTGGCTGGCTGCCTTTCTGTCTGAGCTGGCTGGAGTCTTGAATTTGTTTTTTAACCCCCTAAAATTAAGGGAAACCCTTAACATAGGTGTTTATGGGATCTTCCAAATTCAAGACTCCAGCCAGCTCAGCAAGACCTTGCAGACAGCAAGGCAGAGGGGTGGCTTTTCAAGCAGCCAGACAGTTCCTTGCAGCAAAACATGCAGGCAGCTAGACCAGCCAGGCAGCTTGGATTTGGGGAGTAGGACTAGTCCCCCTAATACTAAACACCCCGGGATGAATTAGTTTTTAGTATTAGGGGGGAGAACCCACAAATGGTAGGTTGATTTTTGAATTGTTGTTTAAAGGGGATCAATTAAAAGTCAAATTGGCCAAACTGAAATTTTCGGAAATTGGAGATGGATGCCTGTTTTTAGTATTAGGGGGACGTTTAGTATTAGGAGGAAGGGATTACACTTGTACACTCTACACTTTACACTCTAGACTCCACACCCCACATTCTACAATTTACAAACTCCGCACTCCTCACTCCACACTTTACACTCCACACTCCTCACTTTACACTCCACACTTTCCACTTTCCACTCCACACTCCACAATCCACACTCCACACTTTACACTCCTCACTCCACACTTTACACTCCGCACTTCTCACTTTACACTCCACACTCCACACTCTACACTTTCCACCCCACACTCCACACTCTACACTTTACATTCCGCACTCCACACTTTACGCTCCACACTCTACACTTTACACTCCACACGCTACACTCCACACTCCACACTGCAGACTGGTAACAGGGGCAATATGTACAAGACTGTTCAAATAAACTATTGCAGAAAAGTGTTCTGCGTGATTGCATATCCATGTGTTTTGACATCTGTACCATTAACATACGTGTGAGCATTTGGGTTCGTTCGCTGCATCTTGTTTTTTTGGAAAAAGCAGCATTTGTCCTAACCCTGATTTGTTAGTTACCTAAGTGAGGTTTATCCCATTGCTTGGGGAAACGAAGCCCACGGTATTTTTGTAAGTTACCTAAGTGAGGTTTATCCCATTGCTTGGGGAAACGAAGCCCACGGTATTTTTGTAAGTTACCTAAGTGAGGTTTATCCCATTGTTTGGGGAAACGAAGCCCACGGTATCCCGATAGCCGCACGAGATCTTCCGGGCCCTGATAAGGACCATTGTGGACGGAGAGCAAGTGGCCAAGATGGCTGTGATGCCTGGGTCCCTTGGATTCTGATCCTGGTTTAAAAGTCATGAAAGATGAGTCAAATACCCCCAATATCACTGTTTTATGATGGTTAATGATGGTTAATAATGGGATTAATAATGGGATTAACAATGGGATTACTGGTTGGTGGTTTGGAACCATGGAATTTTGAATGACTTTCCAGAAACAGTTGGGAATTTCATCATCCCAACTGACGAACTCCATCATTTTTCAGAGGGATTGAAATCACCAACCAGATAAGAATTCATACAAACTGTGCTTGGGACAATGCTGGAACCTGTCTCTACCCTTCTTGTCCTTGGTGATCCCAGGTCTGTCAAACTGCCACGGCTACTCTTCCGAGAGAAGTGTCAAATTGAGTGGTTCCAAAAATATACAGGTTGAATATGTTGAATATCATCTAAATCCACCATTCTGGCAACCTCCTTCCCAGTACCACAAATGGTTTTCGCATGTTTTCGCTATCACGCCAGCGGTTCTTTGGATTCCTTTGGATCTGCCAGGGACATGGTGGTGCGGATGGAAACCACGGACCGCGAGCTGCAGGTGCTCCACGTAAGGATCTATGTACCAAGTGGCATCTCAGCCTACTATACAATGATAATCATAATATACATATATAACTACATATATACATATATACATACATTTTTTAAATAGACACAACAAGAATATGTGTATTATACATTTAAGATGATTATAACGGACGAGAGGAGAAGGATGAATTGCAGCAACTTCAGACGTCGCCTGGAGTTACTGGAATCATGATTAGATTAGAACCAAATTTTTCAGTTTGGTGAATTATCATCAACTATTCTAATTGGTACAGATCCATTGTAACTAACAAAGCTATGGGAATCATTATGTTTAATAGATAAGTCATCTATACAAGGTTCATTTACTATAGCTATGTTGGTTTACTGGAGAGTTCCTGCGTACCACATCCCAAACCCCAAGAAAGACCACCTTTTGCCAATGAAAAAGGTCTACTCTGCTGGCGCTTTCGCGCGCGACTTTCAGCTTCCCGGGGAAGAGATTCAGGCGCTGCGATGAAGTTTGCAGATTTGTCAAAGCGAGGGATTAACTAACAAAATGTTCAAAAACAACCATGGGGAAACCCAGGAAACCTTTTGGAAAATAATCTAACATTTCATGGTGGATATCCATAGCTGAATGTTAATTCACTGGAAGGTACTTGTAACATATTCAAATATATTCAAATTAATTTGAGCCAGTGAAAACTCCGACTTCCCCTCGCAGGGTCACAAGCACTTTGAGGGTCATCGTGTGAATTAAAGATTTGAATCCCAAAAAACACGAAGATCTTTGGGCATAAAATGCGCTATCTGATGTCTACTGAGTTCCACTGTATGTATAATGTATACCTATATATATATATTATGATATCATTTTTTTTGTTAATAGAGTTGTCACATCCCACTCAGGAATTACTTTTCTTGGGCCATATCATTATTGTAGATGGATGTGTGGGAACATGTACAGGAGCCCATTGATACCACATGTTTTCATCAAGTGCGTGTATCTATGTACTCGGATCTCGGATATGGCACATATATATAGATATGTACATATCATATATATATATTATACACAGTATATATATATATGTATATATATATGTATATTGTGCACCGTATCACCGTATGTATATCATCTGGATCATCATTCAAATTATATTTCTCTTGAACAACAGGACAGCTAGCTATCTACACCATTCATATATATATATGGCGCCCATTCCGGACCGGATTATGGCGGCATTTGATCCGCCAATCCGATGATGATGAATTTATCTGAGCTCGCAGCGACTTTGGTCACAAAGAGCCGTCCAAACAATATGTATATATATATATAGATTATATATATATATATGTGTGTGGGTAAATTATAACGACGTCACTGCGACCTCACTGGAATCATGGTTAATAAAGGAAATCATCCCCAAATGGCCTAACAATTCAGGCTAGTGAATTATTATAATTTACCCAGATATATGTACGATACGTATATATGAATACCCTGGTGGTTTAGCACCATTCATACCATATACTTTCAAACTACTATGGATATATATATATATATATACGGACCAAGTACTATAAATTACCATATATACATATATGTCACCATGTAAGTACCAGTATAATGTACCAAACTTGTAGTTTGGAAGTCCTGGTGGTTTACCCTTCGCGTTTTGATCAGTGGCGTTTGAGGACGCTTCACCCGAGATGCAAGCCTTGAACAGCCGAGGCTTTTAGGGGCGCCATGCGATGTGCCCCAAAAAAAGAACAGAAAGTGGGGAAGTACTGTTTTCAGGTATTTAGAGAGCCATATATACATTATCATATATTATATATATACATTTTTATTGATGTATACATATATATATATATTTATATTTATATATTTATATTTATATATACATGCGGAATGTCAACAATTATATGTGGGGTGTGGTTGTTGTTCTAAATCACTTGCGATTCCGGGGATGCAACCCCAAGAAACCGAACGGAAGTGGAAGTGGGGAGAAGCCATGGGTCGGCTTGGGGAGAAGCAAGGGAAATTGGCCATTACTAGCAGAAATCATTCCAAATCATCTTAAATTGGGTGCGAAAATCTGCAACACTGGGCCACTGGGAAACAAAAAGGGTGTTACATGATGACACGGGCGATACAGGATCAGCCGGCATCAAATTGCTGAAATGGAGCAACAGCAACATTGTTTTTATGGGGCGAATTCTTGGGTCAGAGGATCAACGATCCCTGAAGTTGTATGTGGTCCCCTCACAGGAAGGCCGCAATGGGTCATAGTATGTCATAGTCCAGTTTCCATGGGTACTAATTTGAGTTTCGAAGCAGGTAAATGCCGGTACTATTTGCGAAGGATGATATTTACAATGGGAGTTTGCTAGTTTCCAGAAGTAAACTAAGTACCAAGGAAAGATTTGCATGTCCATGCTGATTTTGCATGTTTGCCACGTCCCATTTGACCATCATGTGCCACTTGATTTGTTGCGGAGGCTACAAATGCTATTGGCATCAGGGCGTTGCTTTGCTATACCAAGTGACAGAAGAAGATGTGGAGGCTCACGGCACACACTTTGCGAAGATGGGGGTAGCCATGAGCCCCCAAGCCATGGCACAAATGGGACACGGATGATGATATTTTTTGTGATCATCGATCCGTTGGAATTGGGGCACTTAAAAAAAATCAGACAAATTACCCTCTGATTATTTAACATAGCCATGGAAAATCCCATTTTTAATAGGTAAACCACTGGTAAACCATCTATAAACGGTAATTTTCCATGGCTATCTTAAATAACCAAATGGTAACCCATGTGTTGCATGGCCGTTCGAAGCAAGTTACATCAGGGGATTATGCACACATGTTGCTGCTCACTTGGGGTTGGTGGCCCCCTGGATCCTGATGAGGATACCCCACTGGGGCGATGTAAGGAACCTCAAGATCCAATACGATTGAAGGTTTGTTCGCTCAAAATCAAATTTGGGGCTTGTATGTGTATCTTGCGTGGCTTTGAAACATGTTTTTTGTTTATATCAAATTTCCTCGCAAAAAATACGAACGGGCCGAGGGGTGGCGAAAAACACCAACCAGCTAACCATTTTGATTTTGAAGGCGCCCCTGCAAAAAAGGGGAACAAATAGGTCATCCTGGAATCCAAAGAACGCATGATAAACATATATAGTTATAGAAACAGATAGCAATGTGATGTACCACTATTAAAAAAATGTATCACACAGTTCTATCTTTTCTGGGTGATGCTTTAAAAATGCATATGTAGTCACAGTAGGACATTGAAATAAACAGAAATAAAATTCATCAATGTCTTTGAACATCTCATATATATTTTATCTACTCCAGGATGATAATATATTATATATATATACACACATAGAATCACATAGATACACACACACACACACACACACACCTTTTTGGACTTTGTCCCACAGAGTGTGCGGGCGCAAAGCCCCCAGGACTTTGTCCCTGGTCGTCGTTTCCAGGCACGACACTAACAAATCTCCAGGATAAGGGTGGAAAAATCTCCATTTTTAATGGGGAAAAATGGACAATCGATGAACAGTTCGGGGACACTTCTAATCTTGGGACAGCACAAATAAATGGATTGAAACTTCATCGAGGAACAATGGATAATAAATGGAGATTGTGGTCGTTTTAGTTCAATCTGAAAAATCATTGAGAAAATCATGACTAATCATGTGGGTTTGGGGTCATGATGGCCGTTCATACGTCGATTAGTATGATTAGTATGCCCATCAATATGCCCGTTGCTCTTAGAGCACATGGACATCCGCATCTCCTGGAAATCATGGTCAAGGACATGCCTCTAATCCCAGTTTTTTGTGGACATAATCAATGGGGGTTTGGGACTTTGAGACATACCCATATCTTCGGACAGGGTCCATTGACAAAATTGATTTGCGTGTTCAAGGCTTTCTACACTCTCAAAGCAAGAACTGGTGCAACTGAACGATAAAACTTATCATGGTCTGATTGGTGAATCAAACATGCTAAGATCCTTTGATTGGTTCCATCTTTGAAATTGGGTCTGTAAGATGGAGACGGAAACCAAAGCAATGCTTGTTCCCATGCGTCTTGCTTCACTGCGGCGTTCGTTGCACATCATCCCCTGCAAGTTGCAACTGAAGACTTGATGAAACTGACCCTTGAATCATCATTGGATCATTGTTTCACAGAAGTCTAAGTTTAAAGGTTGCCTGTAGTAATGCCATGACACTTACCAAGTAGTCATCTGTACATATTACCAGTAGTACCGCACAAGGCGGTGGCGGAAGTTTCAAAAATAGGAAACCTATAGGAGAGGTTGGTTGTTGTGAATCAGGGATGGCAGAGCGAAGCCACTGATGGACTGAAAGGTGCTTGATCTCTCTCACTCTTTCAATCTCTTTCTCTGACTATCTACCTACCTACCTATCTATTTTCTATGTATCTATCTATCTTTCGATCTATCTATCTCTCTCTCTCTCTCTTTCATCTAATTACCCAATCTATCTATCTATCTATCTATCTCTCTCTCTCTCTCTTTCATCTGTCTATCTATCTAGCTGTCTACCTGTCTATCTGTCTATCTACCTATCTATCTATCTATCTATCTCTCTATCTCTCTATCTGTCTATTTGTCTATCTGTCTAGCTGTCTATCTGTCTATCTGTCTATCTGTCTTTCTGTCTTTCTGTCTATCTGTCTATCTGTCTATCTGTCTATCTGTCTACCTGTCTATCTGTGGTGCAGTGTCATTCAGTGTATTGTAGTGTAGTGTAATGTAGTGTAGTGTAGTGGAGTGTAGTGGAATGTAGTGTAGTGTAGTGTGATGTAGTGTAGTGTAGTGTAATTTCGTGTAGTGGAGTGTGTTGTGTAGTCGTAGTTGTAGTTGTAGTGTAGTGTAGTGTAATGTAGTGAAGTGTAGTGGAAGGTAGTGTAGTGTAATGTAGTGTAGAGTAGTGGAGTGTAGTGTAGTGTTGTGGAGCGTAGTGTAGTGTAATGTAGTGTAGTGGAGTGTAGTGTAATTTAATGTAGTGTAGTGTGTTGGAGCGTAGTGTAGTGTAATGTAGTGTAGTGTAATGTAGTGTAGTGAAATTTAATGTAGTGGAGTGTAGTGGAGTGTAGTCTAGTTGTGTAGTTGTAGTTGTAGTGTTGTGGAGTGTAGTGTAGTGTAATGTAGTGTAGTATAGTGGAGTGTGGTGTAATGTAACGTAGTGTAGTGTAGTGAAGCGAAGCGGCGAAGCGACATCTGAACCTCCAAAAGTGGACCGATCCCCTAGTGTTTTGTACATTTTCACTTCGAAATGTGCTTCGCGCCACAACGGCGTGCACTTTTTCGACATCTGAACCTCCAAAAGTGGCGCGAACATGTGGTGTTTTGTACATTTTGACTTCGAAATGTGCTTCGCGCCACAATGGCGTGCACTTTTTCGACATCGCAACTTCCAAAAGTGGTCCGAGACCGCCAGTTTTTAACACTTTTGACTTCGAAATGCGCTTCGCGCCACAACGGCGTGCACTTTTTTGACATCTCAACTTCCAAAAGTGGTCCGAGAATGGTGTGTCTTGTACATTTTGACTTGGAAATGTGCTTCGCGCCACGACGGCGTGCAATTTTTCATCGCTCCTCTGGCCAGCTGGCTCCGCACCCGCCGCTTTAGCGAGCCTACTTTTCGACCCTCCGGAGCCACAAATCATTGGGAAAACACAGTGTTTCGCGACTTTCCTACCTTTTCGCGCATCTGTATCTTCTGTCTTCTTACTCTTTCTCTTCTGATCTTCTCTCTGCTAATCTTCCTCTTCTCTCTGCCTCTGCCCTGCTCTGCTTTTCATCTCTCCATATTGTCGGAAGTTTGACTTCTAAACTTCCTTCGATAACTGATCAGAAACTATGTTTTTCCATATTGTCATGGTGGATGAATGTTCAACAATAACAACTGGTTTGATGCCCTTGAGGGTACCATGCTTGCGCTCCATAGCCATGATAGGATTTCACCAAGGAGCCAGGGTTCAAAGTTCCATCCACAGTTATGCTCAGCTCTGCAGGTCCCGGGCAGTTTGATCCCTTCGCCCTTACGGGCGGGTGACTATTTAGAGGCTGTGAGAGCACATCACTGGCATCAAGAATAAGATCAAGTAAAATCAGTTCAACATTCGGTGGTCGATGGTTTGTTCGAAACACACCTGTGGCGGATGATTCATGATGGTTGTTTCACGTGCCAGCACGACATATTTTGGATACAATCTGACTAAGCATTTGCCTGTTTTGTTTGATGGGTGTAGAAACACCACCAACATCCACCAAAGATGATATTATGATACACCGATATACTGATATACTGGTATGATATACAATGAGCACAGGGATATTGCCAATGATTCTGGGGATTTGGTTGGTGGATGGTTGGTGCAGATGGGCAGGAAAACCTCAAGCAAATCTTCAAGGTAGGTGCACAAAACGTCTAAGTTTGATGGAACAAACATGCTACATATTATATATATATAGAATTCAGACGCAATATGATGAAGTATGACTGTGTTTATGTATTTGTATAGTATGTATGTATATATATATATAATAATAATATAATATGTATATATATATATATATATGGTGACTATAGTAAGTATATATATATGATACATGTCAATTATTATATTCTCTGAATTGAGGCTGTGATCCAACCGCAGCGGCTAACGCTAGGCATTCCAGCGGAATGCGAGAAGGTTGAGTTTCGACTGAATAGCTGATGCCATGAGGGGAGTTACCACCTGCCAGCTCCTGCCAGCTCCTGCCAGTGCCAGGCGCGATTTCCGGAGCCAAAGTCTATCTTCATGAACCGCAATGCCATCCAGGTGAGGGGTGGTCCGAGTTGACTTGGAGTAGAAGATTTACGCCAATTTCAGCAACACATGGTCGAGAATTTCACGAGTCCAAGGTGTTTTGGCAATCTAGGCCTCTGTAATCAACACTAGGTTGCAGGTTGCAACTTTGCGGACCACTAGTATATATATATATATATATTGTAATTTTATTTATTGGTACATGTTGGTTCTGGAAGTTCGCGTTAGGGGCTGCTGCAGGGTGTCATACGGAGCTTTGAGAGAATCATACTTTCATGAGAGACCAACCTGACCAACCTGTCTAATTCCAGGATCAAAACCAAAGGCTTGGATGTGCTGCATCAGTTTGCGAACGAGAATTTTTCACCAACATTTGCAGCTTGCGGTGCAGTTTCCATGGTAACCCGAAAATCTTCTGGCTAATCAGCAATTTCCCTATGAATAATGTTGAAGAATGGCCATAGATTCGGGGTTATAGTTATACCGTTATACCCCATTTTCAGGCCCACACCTAGCAAATTGCTGGGTCGTCATTGCCTAAAACAAATCCGGCAGATGTATGGCTACGGTCTTCTACCACGGGTGGTTGTGCGAAATACCTTGGACCATAGCAGTGAGTCAGGGCAGCCCAGATCAGCTGGTTGGGTGAAGATTATTGTGGGTTGATCTTGGTATATATTGTAGTGTATCAC